AAAAGAGCAATAACACTTAGATAGTGAGTAGATACTTTATTTAGAGATTTTTTTCAGACTAATACCTGGTATAACAGGAATTTCACCAAAGCCACCTTCAAACAGGGATTAAAGCAGCAAAGCCTATTTTTGTGTAGTTCTATAATGAGTGTACAGCAGCAGTTTATGCATTTTAAGGTCACACTTTCACACTGGAAACCCTACAGCAGATCTGACATGTTCATGTGATTAAAGCAGGATAATAAGGACAATAATTTAAAAAATAATAGCCTATTCACTACTCTGGGTAAGTGCAAAAAATTTATTCTTGAACACAAGCCCTGCACACTGTACAAAAGTCCTTGTTAAAGACATTAAAGAGATTAAAGTGTATTACAAGAACTAGTTATTGACTGGCTTCCACAATACACTCAATTCTGTACATTTCTGCACAAATACATCTAAAAAAAAATTACTTTTGAAAGAAAATGTTGAAACAAGGAGGCATTTATTACTTTGGCTCTTTTATTCCACTGTGAAAGCTGTAGCCATGCAAATATCCAGCTGTCTTTATTTTTAATAAGCACTTACATGGGGATAACTTGCTACTGCTGAGAAACTTCAGACAGCTCTTGGAACAGATGGAAGATTTACAGTACCTGAACATTGCTAAATACTATTCTTAATACTGATCTGAATTTTAATTCTCATTTTCATACCAACCAGGTAAACCTGAATTAATTTTAGTCTACTCAGTGATTAATTACTAGGCCAGAATTCAGCTTTTATTTATCTTGAGCTTTTTATCCATTTCTAAATTGAAAAACCTCCACTGAAGACTATGCTTATCTAAGACATGGACCATTTAACAAAATAAATAATAAGAACTGATATTGTATCTTAGCAGCTCCTGAAAATTTTGTAAACATTCTTAGGATGACACATCAATTCCATTTTCATCACCTCATCTTGAAGCATAGGAGCATCACAGGTACAATTATTTGCTTTCTTGATGGTATTTTCTCTTCTGTCACGGTGCTGTGATGAGTTCAGACACTCAGGAATAAGGAATTTTAAATCCAGAGGAAAATCAGTGATGAAGTTGTGGTGAGGGGGGATATTCTGGAAAGATCCCACCCTCCACACAGAGCCTCAGCACTGTGGGTGCATCTCAGCAGGACAGGATGCCAGTGGCTAATCCTTTCTTTGGGATCCATTCCAAATTTACAATATCATGTAACTCAGCTTGGAGCAGAACTGTAGCCCTGGGGATTATCTCAAGGGATTTGATAGAAATTAACTTTTCTAGAGAAACTCCTTTGCATTCTTTGGGACTCAAACATAAGCCAGCCTTATTTCCCACACCTCTCACCTCGTATTTCTCTGTGCTCCTAATAGTCTGTCATCAAATGCTCTGCAAAGGAGGAATAGCAACCTAGACATGGGATTTTTAATTTTGCTAATGCTCAGTCACAGCTCAAAAGACCAAAAATGCTTTATTTGATGCCACTGTATCCTCACTGAGCTTTTTCAAGGACTGTGCCCCACAAAATATAATGGACTTCTAACACATTTGTTAGAAATATAGAAAATTCAAGGATTTTTCCCCTGTGCTTTGTGGAATACCATATTCTAGCATGGGGGGAAAGGACTGGGGGTGCTATCCTTCTCTACCTCCTTTTTTCAGTGCAATATAGAGTGGTTTTATAGGTGAATTAATGCAGTTACTCCCCTTTGACAAAAGCAGAGCAGCTATTTTACAAACAAATAATATGCCAGTACTTGTGAAATAGAACTACCTATTGGACCTCCAAAACAAGCATGATAAAAACCAATTCTCTCATGAAAGTATCCTAAATGGCATAATTTCTTTATTTTCAAGTAGTTCTAATCCTGACTACAAATATAGGGGCCAAATATTTATATCACACAAAATATCAGGGAACATTTGTTCCTTAAACTGATGCTGACTGGTTCAGGAGAGTTTTAACTCTGCTAAAAATCTGAAATTAAGTTGGGCCCTACAAAAGCTTGGACCAGCTGATAAAAATTTTGATAAACACAGAAATAAAAAACAACAAATGCTGAGCCTTAGCTCAAAAGTTCCAAGAATATTCAAGCATCTCATTTAGGTATAAATTTAGATTTTTAACTCTTTCTTCTACTTTGCTTTGCTGGTCTCTTCCTTTGCACAGCAGATGGCTCAAACAGAAGATACAACTCCTGAGTCCCGTTGTAAGGTGCTCACCAGACCTCAGTGACCTCTGAAAAGACTGTAGGAAGAAACCCTTTGGCCTTTACAAGTGGTCTGAAATGTGCACATCAGCAGAGATTAATCAATATCTTTCTCAAGCCCATGTCATTAAAATACTCAGCCATTTCTTGCTCTCCTTATCAAACGTTAATTATTGACACACAAGTGCTTTCAGCCAGAGATGCTCTTCAGGATGCCTCAGGGTTGACTCATTCAATACTCCTTTTGGTAAGAAATATTTCAGTGGAATGCTTATTATCTTAGGAATTTTAATTATTTTGATAATAGGAATTTTAATTATTTTCATAAGAATTTGTTTTTCTTTGAGTGGCATGTGAAGAAAGTAGGTTTGGATTTGTTATATTTATGACTTCTTAAAGGTTTTATTCTTATGTCAGTAAGGCTTAAAACTTTCCCATTATCTAGTGTTCTGACACTGAACTTCTGAAAAATGTTAAATGGTTTTAACAATGCCAAATAAATGCATTCTCACAAAAACATACACAAAAGCAGTAATTTTTAATGGTATTATTATGTAAAAACATCACACTACTCATCAACATTTTAAGAGCTCATTGAAATAATGAAGTGGCTCCAGTTATTTCCATTAAAAGGTTTATAAATAATATCTGCTGTTTGGTGCATTAGGAGAGCATAGCTGGGTAATAATTGAAATGTCAATACATCTTCCTGGTGAAAGTTTCTACTTCTGAAAGCAGCATCTGGCTTCCTGTAGGAAGGACATGGAATTCCCACCTCGTGCTCCTTTTCACTGCTCATGATTTGAACAGTGGAGCAAAGCAGTTCTTGCCATTCCCACTCAATTGTTTCTCCAATAGTAAATAAAACCACCTGCAAGGCAAAAACCCTGTTTCCCAATCAGTCACGTAAATACAATCTCTTTAAAGACACACACAACCTTAGAGCCCTTTTGCCTGATTTTTCTTCCCTTTCTCATTTTGACTCATCGGCAGTCTAAGAAAGAGGGAGCAAACAAGGCAAAGATAACTCAGACATGAAGCTGCTCCAACAGCATAATAAGAAATGATGAAGTGTCAGGTCCATCACCTCTATTGTTGCGAGCAGGCTCCTCATTATGCTGAAATCTTTCCTTGCAAAGAATTTCCAGTTACATAACGGGATTTTTCATCAGCAATTTAGGACATTGTGGAGAAAAAGAAGAGCTTTGAGAGGCTGCTGTCTCTGGCTGTTCCATGATGCACCTTCTCCTTTTCATTGAGCACATTCTCCTTCAGAGCCCCTTGGACACTCTGTGGAATTTTACTGGTTATGGAACTGGAATGATGATTGTTTTCTGTCAGAGACTCAGAGACAAAGAAAAAATCTGGGATGGAATTTTCCACAGCAAATCTGAAAGAGTAAGAAAGAAGTTTAATCCCACACACCAAGCTGCCTTGCTGTCCCATCAGTGTCCTTCTGCACCCAGGTGAATGGTAAGGACTTTTATGGTAAAAGCACATTGATCTTAATCCTCCTCAGCTCCTCCTCTTTGCCCAGCTGACCCAAAGTTCTGTCTGATGCTACTGAAGAGTTTATGAATTCCTGGTTTTCACTGCTTTCTCCTGGAGCCAAACCTCTCAGGTGCTAATGGGTCAGAGTACATCCTGCAGGAAAGGCAATGAGAGATTTTTGCTATGAAACCAGGTCTGATTGAAGTCTTCTTCAGTCTCTGACATGCTGAGCAGATAAGGCCATTTTGCTCCCTGAAAACTGATGAGATTTTTCAAAATATGCCAAAATGAAGTACCCTGTATTTTTTTGATACCTAATCAAAGTCACACATCAAAGTTTGCAAAAGAGATGAATACATAGGGAGGGGAAAGAGGGTTTATTATTTAATAGAGTATAAAAGTCTCTTAAGTCTTTCTCTACATCAAAATCTGCCAGATGGTTTTAAAAATGAGATCTTACGTGGCTGATGTCCTGATCAAAAATTCAGAACATCATTTAAACATGAATGTCTGCAATGGCACAACACAGAAACCATGCAGGTAGATTTATTTGCTATTATTGCTGCATTTCTGTTCTCTGAGTGGGATCCATAACATGAAAAGTCACAACAGAAAAATTCATCAGAACCCAGCACACTGGTGTGAGTCCAGTCCTCACTGCTGTTGATAAGACAAAAATTTGGTTTCAAGTATTCTTATGCAAATTTCCTGTGCATGAAAGAGTTTTCAATGAATGTAAATCTGGCACTGCTATCTGTGTAAGTGTATTGAAATGGATCTTCCCCACCTAGGAAGCAGATGGCACCACAATGGCATGGATGGGAATGGAGAAGAAAGGAAAACAAGAAAGCCAAAGAGATTTGGGTAGAAAAGTGGTGATTTGAAGAGAGGCAGAAGCCCTTGGCAAACCGAGCTTGGCGTTTGAGGCCAAGGCATAGAAAAGCAGCGAATTTGTGCTGCAGCACAGCCCTGGGGCTGGGACTGCACAGGAGCAGTGTCAGGTGCTCCCACACACGCCTGGCACAGCCTGAGCTGCTCTCAGCACAGCCCTCACCCACCTCTCCTCCTGCCCTGCTGCAGGGCTGGCCTGACCCGGCACTGCCCGGCACAGGGGCACTCAGGTCTGCAGGACACCACCGCCCACGCTGCAAAGAGCTTCTCTTCAGAGCTAAACACACGAGCAGGCTTTGGATCATCTGGCAGATGTGTCCAGATGTATCCTGAGAAGTGTCCAGATGCATCCTAAAAAGTGATGCATCCCCATTCCCACCGCCCCTCTTTGCTGTGCTTGTACCAACAGAGAAGGGTTTGAACAGAGGGAGCTGCACCCAGATCTCAACAAAATTTTCATTAGTTCAGTGACTTTATAAATAAATTTCAAGTGAAAATGTTAGGAATATCAATGAAATGTATTCCATCTTTTTATTTTTAAGAAATGCACAAATTTTTTCCTCCTCCAAACTAATTAGGCTGACAACCCATGCTGCAAGGTACAGTTGTTTTCCTGACACCTCCAAGTTCAGCTGACTCTGAGCTCCATTTCCTTGAACCCTGTCCACACTTGTTTCAATGGCAGCAGCCTGCAAACACAGAAAAATACCCACTTTAATTAACTTTTACTCCTTTCCAGGGGGTGTTAAAAGAAAACCAAGAACTATTACAGAGACAAAGCGAGCGAGCCTTCCAGGCAGTGAAGGCTATTACATTCAATTGTTTGGCAACACTTCTATTCAAGACTAACAATTTCAGAGACTTATGTTCTTAATAGAGCAGGCTAAAACTCTTCTGATGAACAATTTGCCATCAAAAACTGCTGATTTTCTGGATCAAAACGTTCTCTGGGAATGTTTATTCCACTAAAACTTGGGACAAGCAGGCAGGCTGGCTGGAGGGCTGGCAGCTTGGCTTGGAAGGCTGCCTGGGAGCCGGGCTGGCAGAGAGAGGCAGGCTGCCTGCCCGGCATGTCCTGCCCAGAGCTGCTCCCTCCTCGCACAGGTCACACACATTATGCAGTATAATAATTTTTATTAGTGAATTTGTCAACATTTCTAAGCAGAAAACACAATAGATCAATTAAACGCAGTAACGCAGTGTGTTTCAAAATGTACTTCCGTACATTTGGCATGAAGATTCTCTTTTTTTTTTTTTTTTTGTGAAAAGTAGCTTAAATATTTTCTGGTATGAAATACTTATATTTTTGTTCTAATTCAAAGCAATAATAAAAAACCCCAAGTGAAACACTGGAGCTTCTGCAGAATGGGAGGTCCTGGTTTCAACCCCACAAACAACTCCATATTCCCAAAGAAAAGCATATTAAGCTATGGTCTACAGACAGAATTTGAAGACAGTTGCTGCACAATATTACACTTACTTTTCCAATAATGCAAGAAATTGGTTAATTTGTCAAAGCTTAAGGATTTATGGAAAGGGTTACTCTCTTTTCTTATTTATTCTAAGCTGATTTATTCTCTTAAAAAGTGAACTGTTACCTTTAAAATTACCATAGCTGACACAGGCAGGACTTGGAAAACCCAGATTCTGGTTGGGGAGTTAAAAGGCCTTTGTTTCTACCTCATATTTTCTCCCTTATTTACTATATATATATATATATAAAAATATATATATACTATATACTATATACATATATATATATATATAGTATAAATATAAAATATATTTATACAATAAATATATATGCTGCCAGGAAATAACTTTTGTCTCCAAAATCCTGACCACACTTCAAACTACAGTAATTATAACTTGAATTCATGAAAAACTTGTAGACGTTGCCCTCACTAGAATAATCACTCTTAAAATTTCCAGTGAACTAAAAGAAGTTATTGTGGCTTAATTTTCTTGAAAACTTTTAGGGAAAGCCTGGTTTTGGTTGTTTTTTTGGGGCTTAGTTTGGTTTTGGTTTTGTTTGTTTGTTTGTTTTTGAGGATTTTTTTGTAGGTGGTTTTTTTTTGTTGTTGTTGTTTGGTTTGGGTTAGTTTTTTGGTTTTTCTTTATGGCGCTGGAACCACATATAGGTTTTGGACATTCTGTATTTTGGACATGAGATGTATTTAATCTTTATTGCTCTGTACAGGCCACAGCCATGAACACACTGAACAGAACCCAGAGAATTCACAGATTTGCTACCCAAGATATTTTACACCACTGATGAATTGTTTCTACCAGAACTAAAATGTCTTTTACCAGTTCGACACCACCATTTTAAACATCTCCACAAACATTCAGCAGCAGCAGTAGAAACCTGGGTTTGAAGTACTAAAAGCTGACTTAGAACTAGTGAACATCTGTTTGTTTGGGGCTCTTTGTGCTCTGAAAACCCCTGGTTTCCATGATCTTCAGAAGTCACGTTTGTGTTCAGAGCATTTAAAAATAGCTTTTCCCTTGCCCCACGCAGTAGCTTTGCTCCACACATTGCAAATCCTAAATTTAGCAGCCATGAATTCACGTGGAGATGGAAAGGTGACACAAGCACAGTGATGCCAGCAGGACATATAGATTAGGGAGTATTTATAGACCAAAAAACCCAATAAACCCTTGTCAATATTGCCTGACCCACGAGGGAAGGACAAGCCTGAAATTTCTTTGTCTGCTATTTCCACATAAAACCTGAAATAAATTCTACCCCTGCAGTACCCAATTACCATGGAAAATATAAAACGCGCTGCTGATACAATGGCTCTGCTGTGTGAGAAATATTAAAAAGATCAGGAATAACAGAAATAAAACACCCACTTGACAGAACTCCCATTGCAAGGAGTGGTGTAGGTGATTGACATAGGAGATTCACCCAGCTCAACTTAGAGCCATAAGAATTACAAGAGAAAGAACTCCTAAATTAGGCATTTAAGCCTGCAGGTAAAAAGGTAAATATTCTATTCCCTCTTAGTGTCACCTTCCTTTGAGTCAATATTGATTCAAGCTTCCTATCACAACTGTTTTGTTTTATAAAATAAAGCCAGCTCTGGAGTTAATCACAACCAGGCTTTTGAAACCTGAAGAAGAAATGCCATGAACATTTCAAACACCAAAAGATTCCATAAAACCCAGTTTGTGCTGGGTTTCCACCACACTTGATATCCTCGATTTCTCAGTCAGAACCCAATGTGTGACTTTACTGGGCACTCTTTAACAGCTTCCACGGGAGGCAAACACAAAATCCCAGCTTCCTGTTTTCATTCAGGACAACAGGGCAGGACCCTCCAGTCACCCCCCCTTGTTCCCAGGTGTGTCACCCCAGCAGAGAGGCTCCTGCACCCCACCTGGGCAGATAAAGAACAAGTTTCTGGTCAGAAAACAAAACACCCAACTGAGCTTTGTGCAAACCCTCCCGTGGAGCACATGGCATGGCCAACATCTGCTGTGTGGATGAAGCTCAACCATAATCACAGGGTGAGGCCTCAGCCTCTCGTGTGAGGCTTTTCTTTGGGTGTAACCACTGCAGGAGAAAAAGGTGTGACAGAGCTGACTTACCTTCTCACTGCTGGGAACTTTTGCTCAGGCAGAAACAGGATTTCTCCAAAGCCCTAGAAGGCCAAATGTTCCTTTCTTCACTCATGTGAGGGAAGATATGACATTTGAGATTTTTTTGGCCTAAAGAATGCAGAATTTACCTAAAAGCATCCACTTTAAAAACTGTTAAGCTTTTCCTCCCCCCCACTCCATCCCCCAAAACCATTTTATACTTAAGGATCTCCAGCCACCTGCAGCAGACCCTCACCTCATCAAAATCACCATAGTCACTACAAACATAACCTGAACTGATATAAATCACCATGGTCCATACAAACATCACCTCAGCTGATATAAATCACCATGGTCCATACAAACTAACAGGATTCTAAATTTGCCAGCAAGTGCAGATCTGCCACAAAACTTACCCAGATTTAATTCTTGTCCTGGAAAACTCAGCAATTATTTGGAAAATTTGTTAGATCAAAGTGTCTAACGATGCTCCATAAGTTTATAATTCTGCACTTTGCAAAACAATCCCAGCCATAAGTAGAGTTGACAATGATCTTTGGTGAGAAGAGTTCATGATAAATCTATTGGCTGAGTTACCTGGGAGATTCTCTCCCCTGCAGCTTTAAAAGTGTGGGGTTTCTGCCCTGCACACCATTAGCTGAAGAGCTACAGAGTCTTTAAATGTTGGGAATGACACGAAGGAAACAAAATCAGTCAAACAAAACCAGATTTAGCACCCAGGGCAGCCCACAGGGCAGTGCCAGCTTTCAGAACTGAGACAGTGAACTTCTAGAGTTGTACTGTTTAAACTGCACAGGGAGCTCTTGTGGGTCTCTGTCTTCTCTTAATCAAATATAAGTTTTACTGGCTCATTACTGCCAATTAGGAAAGATTTGCCTTTAAAAATTTATTGAATGCTGATGGAGAACAACACAAACTCTTATGAAGCACAATATTAGATGACAATATTAGTAAATTCAGAGAATGGATTTACAAGAGTAAATATTCAAGTTTTCCAACAACTGTGTGAGATCATCAGAGCCTCTACGCTTTGCTTATCACTGAGGAAGGATTTTCTTCAACCCACAGGTTCAGGGCTTTAACCTGAACTCCTTTCCCTAGGAAGCAGGGAGCACATGGGGGATTCAGGGGCATTCCCCTGAATTGCTGTAGTCATCATCATCTTTCAAAGTCAGCCTCTATTCAAACCTCACCCAGAATCACAGAATCACGGAGTGGTTTGGACTGGGAAGGGACCTTAAAGCCCCTCCAGTGCCACCCCTGCCATGGCAGGGACCCCTCCCACTGTCCCAGGCTGCTCCAGCCCCAGTGTCCAGCCTGGCCTTGGGCACTGCCAGGGATCCAGGGGCAGCCACAGCTGCTCTGGGCACCTGTGCCAGGGCCTGACCACCCTGCCAGGGAACAATTCCTCATTCCCAATATCCCATCCAGCCCTGCCCTCTGGCACTGGGAGCCAGTCCCCCTTGCCCTGTGCCCCTTTGCAGGCTCCTGCCTGCCTGGCACAGGGGATTTTTCTGATTACAGGTGCTTTGCTCACCTGTCCTAATATAAAACACCCACATTAAAGTACCTGTAACCCTAAAATCTTTAAAGGCAGGTTTTCTTCTTTCATGTTCTCCTGAACAAGCTTCACTGTCCCATTAACAGAGTTGTTTTATTTTCTAATGGTGTTTCTTCCATGGAAGGTTTTTTGTTGCTGTAGGGTTTAAAAAACAAAACCAACCCAAGATCAGTTACAGTTATGACTAAATATCATTAAACTGGTCTTGTTTCTGGCATTTAAAATGCTTGGGTTATCATGAGGTATGGCCTGTTGAAGCCCATTGTATCTGAAGGACCCCCAGTGTTCACAGATAGGCTTTTAACACACAAATTCTCAAACTCACGTAGAATTTTTTTTTATTTACACATTACCTAAACTGCACCTTTAACATTTTAGACTGGATTTTATTGCTGTATAACATACAGTGACAGAGAGACTCGACCAACTACATCCCAGATAACCAGAGAAAAACCTTTCCTTTTTTTTTTGCCCACTCAAACATCTTTTTATTCCCCCATCCCTCACTAGTCCATGACT